GTGTGTGTGTGTGTGTGTGTGTGTGTGTGTGTGTGTGTGTGTGTGTGTGTGTGTGTGTGTGTGTGTGTGTGTGTGTGTGTGTTACTAAGTTACCTGCAGCACTATTAGTCTGAGCTCACACTTCAAGGCCAGGTTCCATCCCTTGTCTCTCCTGATAAACAACCTTTTTGTCTTACAACTATAGCTTTTTCTGTGTCATTTACTGGCATTTTGCACATGTTACCAACACGGTCAATTATCTCTATGTCTATATTACATTACCTCAAATAAGTTTGTACTACATTCCCTCTGAGAAAAGTCCCTGTCTTGTTTCCTCTAACTTCCCCCAACTCAAGAAACTTGCTTTTTATTTGATAAACACTGGGTATAATTGTTAATTAATGTAATTTGTGTACATGAAGTTCACCTGCAGAAAATATATATGCCTAGTCAGACTCTAGGGTTACATTAAAATGTCTAAACGGAATTCATGTGTAGAAAAACGATCTCTGAAATTAAGTTCACAGAATTCAGGATTTTTGTTTTATCTTGATTTCAATAGCCCATGTAAATGGAATGTCTGAGTAAAACTGTGTTCGATATTTTGCATGATAATCAATATGGCTTAATGAAACTTCAAGTTTGTCCATGACCTTGGGCAAGGTGCCAACACCTTTTCTGTATGCTGCCAATATGCATATTAGTCAAGTCAGCATTTTACAGGTGGGCAAGCATGACTAATAATCACCTTGTAATGTTGTCACAAGTATGGTTATATTGGAGTTGTGATTAACATCTTGCTTCTTAAACAGCCTGCTAGAGTATATGTCTGTTGCTTCCATAACTTAGAGAACATTCAAAAAAATCCATTTACCTTTGATATTAAGTGGTATATTAATCTCTGTAGGGGATAAGCACTTCACAAATAAAATTCCTGGGATTTTCACAATGATTACTGTTGTTGAACACGTAAGTCTGAAGAGTGTAAAGCAGAAAAAGGGTTGGGAAGGGATTTTCCTTTTTGTTCAAGTATGTATCTAAAATTCGCTATTGGAAACATTTATCATTTTTTCAGGTTAAGGCCAGATTGAACTCTGTGGAAAAGATACAAGTTACCATTACTCTGGGATCTCTAAGTGTATGAGTACGTTAAGAATACCTTCACTGTAGGCAAAAGTTGACCTTCATTTAGAGGACACCAAGATTATAGAAGAATGAGCCATAAAATGGTGCTAGACTATGAAACCACAAATCTGGGTTTGGCTTAAATTCTCCTACTGGGGAATTCATCTGCTGCCCAATTTGAATTTTGGAAGAATACCGAGAAAGCATGTGTAGGTATAGAGCACTTATAGACTCAAGTAAGTATTCTGCCCATATTTATTTTACTCCAATCTAGTTGACACTGTTGCTATATATAAGGGACAGAAAACAAGGTGATGATTCTTGCCCTCAAGAAACTTGCAACCCAGTACAGAGGCCGACAAACTATCGTCCTTGCCAAATCTGACCTGTGGTCAGTTGCTTTCCTCACTTAGGAAATTCCAAGGATTTTAGGATCTCTGTGCCAGAAAAGAGATGAAGACCAATACACACTTCTTATTCTCCCTCCTCCTTCCCACCACGCACACACGTAGAAAAGGCCGCTTGAGGACATAATCAGGAAGAGGGTCCTCACCAAGAACTCCACCATACTGGCACCCTGATGCTGAACCTTAAGCCTCCAACACTCTGAGAAATAAATGTTCGTTGTTTAAGCCAACCAGTCTATGGTATTTGTTACAGGAATTTGAATGGAGACACCTGGGATCCATGGAGCCCCAAGCAGTCTGTGGATGAAACACAAAGGATTTGTGAATGTGAGGTGGGACATCTTTATTTTCAC